CATCCATCCATCCATCCATCCATCCATCCATCCATCCATCCATCCATCCATCCCATTTATAGAGCTGCCCTGGGGCCCACCAGGTGACACTACTTCACTGATGGGACCTGCAGCATTCCTATTCTGCCAGATCTAGAAACCACCGGGGATAGGCAGTCCTGCAACTGACCTGGCCCTATGTGATATAGGGCTTTAAAGGTGCTAACCAGCACTTTGGATTGCACCTGGAAGCCCACTGGGAGCCAGTGCGGTTCATGCAACAGTGGTGCTCCATGGATGTATCATGATGTGCCACTGAGTTCTGGACCAGCTGAAACTTTCAAAGGCTCTTCAAGGGCAGCCCCATGTAGGGTGCACTGCAACAATCCAAACCAGAGGTGACTAAGGCATGAGTGACCGTGAGGAGTGCCTCCTGATCTAGGAATGTGCGCAACTGGTGCACAAGATAAAATGCAAAGGGCCTCCTGGCTATGGCCGGCACCCGCTCCCAAGTAGGAGCCGCAAGTCCAGGATTGCGCACCAAGTCTGCCTGGGAGAGTGTTACCCCATCCAGAGCTAATGATGGAAAATCGCTAGATACAGGGGACCCTAAAACCCACAGCCACTCAATCTGGTCAAAGCTGAGCTGAAGCTAGTTCTTCCCCATTCAGACCCACACGGACTCCGGGCATTGAGAAAGCACCTCACCGGTATCACTCTGATGGCCCTGGGGCAGAGATGTATAACTGAGTTTCATTGCTTAAAAGTCTGAAACTGCTATTGATCCTTTTGGAGAACCATCATACTGACACTTTTCTCTCCAATCCTGCAGATAAAACCATTGTTAGAAGAATACCCACTCTACTTACCGGGTATCAATCGAAAAACCTTTTGCGCTAGCACATTCTTGGACCTCAGAAAAAAATTCCTGCCGTGGCGGTGGGTGCTGGCGGAGAAGAGCTTGGTGGGGGAAAGCCTCCCAAATCTTCTTTGCCACCCAGTGGTTTGCCAGGATCATACACTCCGCTATCGTCTCATGGACTTCCAGCGGCTGTCGGGGGATAAGGTCATCTATGTTTTTCTTGTCATCTAGCTGAACCCTTATTTCAACCCCTTCCAGTTCCAGGGCTCCATAGCTGCTGCGTTTGGCTCGGAGATGGCGGGCAACATCAGTAAGCTCTCTGATGGCCCATACCAGTTCATCTAACTTCTGTTTTCTTGTATTTTCCTCCATGGTTTTGAGCTCTGGGATTTCAGCAGCAACAGTCAGGTCTCCCTCTAGCAAAGCCTGTGCTGCCTCATAGAAGAGTTTGTAGGAAGAGCGAATGATGGTTCTCTTGAACCTCACTTTTTTTATTTCATAAGAAGCCTTGTCAAGCACCCAGATAACACTTACAGCATACCTGAAAACAAATATTCAAGTCATCTCTGATCTCTGATGAATACACTTCTCGTTATGCAAGTCCTGGACAATTCTGGACAAGACAGAAGCCCATCACCCGTTGCCTTAACAACTCAACCCAGGGCTAGGCTGGCAGGGAGAAAAAAGTTTACAGGTCTTCTGTGTCACTGAGAAAGCAATCGCCCTGCACTTCCAACTTCTATTTTGGTGGAAAAATGAAATTTTAAAAGGAGATAGGCACAAGAAGAAAAATGACCTGACAGCTGTACCTCACTTGTCAGGTACAGTGAAGGCTCTTCCATCAGTGAAGAGTCTTTGCTTAGATTTAAGATCACTATTTTTTTACGCTTGCTGTTTTCTGGATCATCTTACATAATATTTATAATAAATTGGCCTCAGCAAATGGCAGCACCTAGCCAGCCTTGGCTGATCTCGGAAGCTAAGCTTGATCAGCCCTGGCTACTAGTTGGATGGGGACCCTCTGAGAATTCCAGAGCTGTGGGCTATATTTGGAAGTCCAAAGCTCACAGAAAAAAGGCAAGGGCAAACGACTTCTGAAATGCTGCAGTAAAACTGTTCAGTACAATACCCTGGACTGAAGCTTGACTTGAGGGCATCTTTACCCTTTCATAATGGCATACAACATTCATATGTTTGAACAGCTGGTTCAAACGCCAAAGAAAGCTATAATGTGGCTTTGTAATGGTTTGTAGGAATGACCTTGGGAGGCAGAAGGGAGAGCTGCGGGCTGGAGAACCGGTGCGTAAAATATATCTCAGCCCACAGAAGGAAAAGGGGCATGGGAAGCATCTCAGAAGGGACCCTCCCTAGTTTTCCAGAGAGTAAAAGGAAAGGAGGGAGAAATACTTTCAGTCTTGCAAGATTCTGTTAACATAACCTTACAATAAAGACAGAGCTAGTACTCCTGGTTGTGCTTCTTGTCTGGACTACCCTGCAGGGCTAACAGGCTTGGACCTAACATGAAGTGTGAATCCAACCAGATAGGCTTTCTTTGATACAGCACTGTAAAACAAACATTTGGTGCAATGGGCAAACCCAGTTATGCGGTCAGCAAGAAGGCGCCTTGTATTTTCTTTTTTTAGATTTTCCATCCCGCCTTTCTTATTTTTATAAATAACTCAAGGCGGCGAACATGCCTCTTACTCCTTCCTCCTCCTATTTTCCCCTGTGAGATGAGTTGGGCTGAGAGAGAGGGACTCTTAAAAGACTGCAAGTATTATATTTGGAGTCATAGTTCTCACAGAGTTAGTGCTGCAGAAAAGGCTTAACTCATGCAATGCAAGGAGCTGATAAGGCTTAAAACTCACCTGTCGACGTTGCCAAGAAGAGAGCATAAATTGGCACTCAAGATGCCAGGCAACATGTCATAACGACGATCGGCTAAGTAGTAGGTGGTAGCCCTAAGAAATCAGGAGCAGAAATAACTCTTGAGTGTTTCTCTCGCTATACATTTTGAAGCTTACAAAAATTAGATACATCTTTCAGCACCATGAACCTTTTAAGCCTTCGAGTCAGTCTTGACTCCTGGCAACATATTCGGAAGTATTTGGACTTTTTAAATACTGAGTATAAAAATTATTTCTGTGTAGATAATAGGTGTAGGTTTCATATAGCACTTGGATTAATAATAAAATTTTAATCTTTGCTTACAGCCAGTTTGGTGTAGTGATTAAGGCATCAGGCTAGATAGTGGGAGATCATGGTCAGGGAGATCATACTCTCAGCCCTAGGAAGTAGGTGGCCATGGCAAACCGCTTCTGAAATCTTGCCAAGAAAACTGCACGGACTTGTCCAGGCAGTTGCCAGGAGACAACACTGACTTGAAGGCACACGCGCCCACAATCTTTGTTTACAGCAATGCCTCTGGTTAATTCGGAATTGCTCTCGGCAGCCCTAAGAAACCGTTCACCAAGAAAGGTTTAACAAGAAAGAAAAATGGAAGTACACTAATGCAGGGCTCATATTTTCTATGAAGACATAATGGGGCTTGTTTATTAACATACTCTCAGCAATTGTGATTAATAAAGCACGGTTTAGCGTACTGTACAACCCCAGCCAATGGTGGTTTATTCAGCAAACCACGGTTAGGAAGAACCTGACAGGGTGGTGTGAGAAACCAATACAGTTAAGACTAGCCCAAATACTAAAAGTAATTAAACATATGGTTCTGCAGTTGTTGGAAAAGATTTCCATTGGCAATATTTATTCACTGGTTTCCTTTTTTCCCCATGTCATAGTGTTCAGGGCTTATGCACAATATTCTTGGCATTGTTTCTTCAATTACTCTGGGCAGAACTGTCTTGCTGTTAAATAGAAACAAGCCTACCTTGCTTTTGCCTCCATATCAGTATAAGAATTTGCAGCCACAAAATGAGTCACATCAGCAATGTGGACACCCAGTTCCAGGTTTCCACTGGGTAAGAGTCTAATGGACAGTGCGTCATCCACATCTTCGCAGCCTTTGGGGTCAATGCTGAATACCAGATGTGTTTCTCTCAGATCAAGACGCTTTTGTTCTTCTTCAGGAGTTACCTGCCATGGTTTCTCTGGGATGAGAGTGGGCATCTCACACATCTGCAGGAATGAACTTGTGGCAATGAGCGACAACTGTCTGAAAGTCAGGCCTTACTTATGTTTTCTCCGACAGACACCTAACTATACCAAATATTTTAATGGCAGTGCTCTCTATTTATATGAATGCATGGTCAGTTCCTCTTAGCGTATCAAGCGTCTTCTTTTCCCAACTGAGTACTGGTATAATATAGCTGTCACTCCAGAGCTGTAACAGCAAACAATCCCTAAGCAGGCCTTTTGCACCATGTAAAGACAGCATTCAAGCCTAGGCACAGAATTTGACATCCTAGAGCAGTGTTTCTCAACCTTGGCCACTTTAAGATATGTGGACTTCAACTCCCAGAATCCCCCCACCCCCCCCCCCCTCTTTGGTGGGGTTTTTTTGGTTATATGTAAACAATTTTTAATATAAAGATATGTAATAAAAAAA